TAAAATTTTATTAAAGATTAATGTCCTGCATATTAAAATTTTATTAATGCAATAATAAAATTTTATGAATAATTTATTAATACAGAAATAAAAATTTTATTAACTCCATAATAATTTTTTTTACTTTGACAATAAAACTGACTTTGCCAACAATAAAATTATTGTACAACAAACCTCCAAATAACATATTTTTGATAACTGCTGTACTGAAGAACCATTCTATTAGAGCTTTAACCGTTAGTATGTTGACAGAATTCTGGTAAAACTTATGTACTTTGTGCAAAAACCTCAGTTTGGGCCCTCTCCTGTACTTGTTTTGTTCTTCTTGAGTCTCATTCTCATTGTTCCCATTTGTTGGTAGGTTGACCCATTCAGACTCCCCGCTTTCAAACAACAAGTGGTGATTCCAGTTAAATGAGTAAGTTTGTTTGCCTCAGGGAAGTCATCCCACATTCCTTCTTCTACCCAAATTGAATTTGCTAGGAACAACAAGAAGCCTCTCATCACCACCAGGATACATTTGTGATATGCAAATGCAACACTGGCTCCAGAATATGATTTGTTGGAGCAGATTGAGCAGATTGCCCAGTATCCCTATCTATTTCTGCCCTTCTCTTGGGTCAAAGGTCATCAAGATGATGCTCTCACCTTCAAGCAGAAACTCCCCCTAAAAGCCCAATTGAATGTTGAATCAAATCAGTATATAGATAACATCAAGCCCCCCACTTTTGACATACCAGTTTTCCCTGCTTTTTGGATGTGCTACAGATCTGAAATATCAAACTGCTATTATTGCTGTGGTGATTAAAAAAGTAGATTTATTTTACGTTTTTAATCCTGTATGCATACATGAGGAATATTGATATTCAACTACTAGGATCCTCCCACTCCCCCATAAGACTAGAATACTCTTTTTACTGGGTTTTGATTCATGTGCCCATCATACTTGTTAAGCATCCCTTGGGGACCAAGTTGTAGCTGTTAGAGTGAGTTGATACTTAGTTAACTTTCTACATGTTTTTCTACTGTATCGGTACAGCAATGGTATGTGTTGAAGCAAAAAGCATGTGTGTGCAAAACTATTTAGTGGCAAAACTGGTGACTGGTGGGATTCAAATTGAACATTAGTACTACTGAGCATGTGCATTTTTTACCCATTTAGGCTTTCAGCAGTACTAGTCAAACTAGTCATTACATGCAAAATAAGGGCCCAAAATCTACAACTGTATTGTATAGTTGGGAGCCACGTCTATACAATAATAGACTTGTCATATTTCATTCCTCAATACCATTCTTATTGTTCACAACAAATCTTTCACTGTTGGTCAGTTGAAAACTCCAAAAATACTCCTTGGATATATCTCAGTATTCCAAATTGATAAGAATGTCATAGTAGTCACCAAATGTTGCAATAAAACCTTACCACCAACTGCTACTGTTCTTATTATCAAAAAGTGAAAATCCCAATCCACTGATTTATRCTGCCTCCTCTGGTGCTCCCATCAGGCAGGAAGGCAGTCTTAATCTCTTTTGGTGTTCACATCCCAGTAGCCTTTCTTGTAGAACTACTCTCCAACAATGCTTGAGAAAGACATTGGATACAATTGGATATCTATCTTCTGCAACTGCTGAAACCTTGAACCAGATTGGATCTCAGATCCAGATCTTTGTCATTCTCCTACTAGCTCCTATTCACTAGTGGGTTTGGGAGCCTTGTTGATTGAATTCTTTTTGTGCTCATTTATTTCTCTGCTGTAACAAAAAACACCACAATAAAGCAAGGTTTCCATGGTGATAATGTTTCCTAGAAGCAGGCATTGCACCAAGCATGGCTAATATAGTAGAGAGCCAGACACTCTTTTCTCTCTGATCCCAGCCATGTCCATGCAAAGCCATTTTATTTCTCCCTGATTTCATTGCTTTCATATCCAATACAACCAACATCTTTTTCTTGTCTTTCTATCAGAGTTTCAGATAAAACAATCTACAAGAGCACCATCCATTTTGCTGCCAGTAGTACTAGTACAACTTCCATCACTGCAAACACAAATCCAATTATTCAGTACTTCCCTCACTGCTGCTTTGAGGAGGACAGACAGTAACCAAACACCAGCAGAGTGGTGATTTGTTACACTAGTACTAGTAAATGAGCTACTAGTAATCTTTGGCACATCGTAGTAGTACTCCAAAAGAAGAAGGCAACAAAATAACAACAAGAATCAAATGCCAGAAGGAGAACAAATATTCTTCTTTTTTCTTTGTAGGATGACAGAAACAACAACAACAAATAGCACTCTAGTAGTAGTTGTACTACTATTAGGAGTACTAACAAGAACAACAAGCAAAGCCAGCAGGAGTCATTGTCGTCTGGAGGGTACTTTCTTTTTGAATTTTCCATCACTACTAAAGTATTTATTGAAAGCCAGCAAGCAAGAAGTAGTATGACTGTTTGCAAAGGTACAGAACTGAGATGGACCCCAAACTACTACAAGTAGTACTAGTAGTCCTAGCTATTCAACAACATTCTCCTCCTACTACCTCCTCAGCTACTACTGGTAGCTAGTACGTAGTTTCGGCTTCCTCTCCCATCTGAAGCGACAAATTACAGACACGACTTCAAATCAAGACTCGCTCTCTTACTCRTAAGGTTTTAAAATTTWWWAAAAAATCGTTATCATTTCAGTACTACAACGTATCAGGACAATACGTYTACAAGTTCGTAGTGATTTACGGTTCGTACAYGTACATACAGTACRTAGGTACTCGTACYAACGAGAAAAACAATCAAAAAYATCAAGAAGGTTTTTAGAGATTTRATGGAAGGGATTCTGAGCAACCAAACAAACCGCAAACGAAGGAYGTCGTGTCAATGATAAACGTATTGCACAATACGATAAGATAGATCAGTGAGTTTGCGAATATCTCAAGAACAGAGCTATCTGGATTAAGAAGGGAATAAATAAGGAATTTGTACTAGGCACAAAWGATAWAAAAGATCGATGAGTCAATCTTCGTCTCGAAAGAAACGTAGACCACCCCAGCGTCTTTCGTGGCCGGCAAGTTTGACACAAGATAGTACTATATCTATGGGAGGCGGAACACAACAAAAAGRAACACCGAAACAACRCGCCGATCAGAAATATACCGGTAATGATAGGAATAATACTAATGGGCGCAAGCGTGGTAGAAAATCGAACGATCTTTCAACAAATGGCGTGAACCTTGATGATCGTGATGGGAAYGACGTAATGTGGGTTGAAAAGTTTGGGCCAAGGTCAACTTCGGAGCTGTGCGTTGCGCCTAAAAAGGTAAAAGAGATCAAAACGTGGATTCAGAATACTTCGTCTTCGACAGCAACATCACAGCAAAAACTGTTGATTTTGGTTGGGAGTCCGGGAATAGGAAAGAGTACAACTGTTCGAGTAGTTGCCAAGGAATTGAATCGTCAAATCTTGTCATGGAATGAATCCTTTATTCCGAGAGGATTTCAAGATGCTAATTCGCGAGGCCTTTTCTCTGTGCAGGAAACGTCTGCCCTAGATTCTTTTGATGAGTATTTACAACAAAGTGGTTCTGGTATTGCATCTCTGCACTTGACGACTTCGTCGAAAAAGAATATTGAAAACRGCAACAAGGCAMTGATATTGCTAGAAGATCTCCCGAACATACACGGCAAATCTGCAGAATTGCGATTCCGTGATATTATGAGTCGTCATTTGCACCGATCCTACGTTCCGACAATTCTAATATTTAGCGACGTTTCGGAGGGAAAGCATCGACCCGAAGATCTAGAACGCCTTATCGATCCGGATGTTTTGTATGATAACGAGAAAACAACTATCCTAMAAGTTCACTCSGTTACCAAGCCAAAAATGAAGAAAGTTTTGACAGAGATTGCGAAACGCGAAAGATCCCGCTTCAGTGCCGAATTCTTGGATGAGATTCATCTTCAAAGCCACGGAGATATGAGACATGCTATAATGATGCTTCAATTATACGCTACTGGGAGATCGAAGGTTGATTACGATGACACTTTTTCGGGTAATAAGGAGCAAAACCTACGCGATACCAAACTATCGACCTTCCATTCCCTGGGGAAACTTCTCTATGCGAAAAGAGTCTTGGATTCGAACGGAAACTCTCGTTTGGCGTTTGATCCGGAAGCTATCTTGGAGCGAAGTGATCTTGGGATAGATGGATCCTTGCGCTTCCTTGAGTTTCACAGCGTTGATTTTTTCACAGACATCATCGAGCTTAGCAAAGCGTATTCCTCTTTCTCGGATGTTGCTGATATGCTGGGGCACGCTACTACTTCCAGAGGAAGCAAAACCAATTGTACTAGTAACATATTTCCGTACGGCTGTGCTTCGTCAATAGCTGGGCGGACGGTAGCCAACACCAAYACCCGGCCCGCTCCCAACAAGTTYCGTCAATTTTCACGACCAAAAGTCTTTGATGTCATCCGCAATGGTAGGCACAACCAAATCCTTGTTGATCAACTTTCTCGAAGACTTTCAACAACTGGATCGACAACTAATTTTGTAACAGAATCATTGCCGTACATGCGGCAAATCACTCCACAAGAAGTCGACCCCTATCTAGAYAACTTGTACTCCGTTGCTATCCAACGTCATAAGGAAAARTCAGTTTCTTTTCGCGAGCATGGTGAGAATGACGAGAAGCTAGGCTTCCAGAAGGAACAAGAAGCTCTGCTCGAGATGGATGATATWGAAGAATATGATAGCACMTARTTTAATCTCGATAGGACGAGTGTAAATCCAAAATACAATTTAGATATCGCGTTTCTTYTGACGWTTATCTCGAYYAGAACGATTTCACCATGCTTAACTCGCGAATATTCGATTCAATTCGCGGGTGGCAGAAAATGGGAATGGAATTCGTTCCTAGKTTCAACACTAGGACATGAGAATWTTTTCATAAAATTGAAATAGCCTCCTGCATTCTACGGCATGCATCAATAGCATGCAGTGGCACCAAAACAAAWAGATTTGTTACTGTGGTTTTTAAGAAAGCWATCWACTTATTTCATTATTTTGGAAGTAGTAGATGCTGTAGYTGTYTAGAAAGGAATTTTTCAATMGTATTGATCCATAACAGTAGTTCAAAGTAGTACTTAGGCAAAATAATCAGAAATGAATCAATTTCTGTCTGTCCTGCAAAGTTTTAACTGCACTTTGTTGAATCCAGAGTATTGCCTGAAAAAGAAGATGGAGCAAACCACCCATTAGCTAAAATTGATTCTTTTTATTCCACTGCTCCTGCTCCTGCTCCTGCTCCTGCATCAAACAATTCACAGAGGCCCAGTGACAAGCAGAAACCATTCACTTTTCAGGCAAGTGGGATTTCTCTATGAATTAAATGATTCTTAATGCTAAGGACAGTAGTACTACTGGTAGCAGGTTAGTCATTGTTGCTCTCAGTAGTAGATAACAGAGTTTTTTNTCTATGAATTAAATGATTCTTAATGCTAAGGACAGTAGTACTACTGGTAGCAGGTTAGTCATTGTTGCTCTCAGTAGTAGATAACAGAGTTTTTTATCTCTCATCTATTAAATATCATATATTCACAAAACTTTGGACACCTCATCAAAGAAACAAGTTACAATTGGAACACAGCCACTAGTACTATCACATTGCATCAAGAGCTGTACATGGACTGTTTTGCGTATTTGTCAAACTAAATTTTGTAGCCAAACGTGATTGCTTGTTGTTCAGGTTGAACATAGAGGTTGCAAAAACTACTGCTCCACCCAGGCAATGTCCCTAGTGATAGGAGCAATCCTCATTGTTGCTGAGATGACAAAGAAGTTGTCTTGAGTTAAGTTGTCTTCAGGTAACTATACCATCACACTTCCTTCTTGTTACAGAATCCAATATGGGTCTCTTATTTTGTTTGTTTGTCCTTTTTGTAGCTCTATCTATTCACAAAATCTAGTCATTTTTGATTGAACCTCAGACACCACCCTTTCAAATTGACTAAATTTAGTGGTGTGGCCTGGACCCTGCCATCATGACAATGAAAAAAATTTCAAGTCTGTTGAAAGATCTTAGTAGTACCAAAGCGCCATTGAAATACTAGTTAAGATTGCAAATTTCCAAAACTGACATTTTGCTGGCATTCTGTCCCTTTTCCATTTGTCTACATTGACTTGGTAGTCGATTTAGACGTTTAGTCAATCTGGATTAACGGGAATCACCCATTTTGAAGCTGGCGGGGCCTCAAAATGACCGACTACAACAATTTGTCGAGAATTTATGTGAAGAGGAGTAGCCCAAGTACGAATAACGAGTACCAGTCAATTCGATATATAATGCGTTAACAGTAAAAAGCCTACCGTGCACTACATGGAAAAAAGTAATTTATTTACTCCAACTGATTTACACCAAAAATTATTACTAGTAGCATCACGGTTAATTTTGTTAATGTTGAAGCCCAGTATTTAGTACTGATCCTACATATATCTACTAGTATTTGGTCACTCTTTTAACCCCACCAAACAGTTCTTCAATAAGCTAACCACAACAACAGCTCAAGAAGAACCGGCTCAAATGAGATCCCCTTTGGGGAGGATATGCTCGGTCATAGTGTTAAGAAGAGTGCTGTGTGTCATTGTTACACAATTAGAGCCCAGGGGGGAGCCAGTTCTCCATTAACAGCCAGTATGGCCAAAATTGGCCAGTTTTGAGACCGGCTGCTGCTGGTTAGAAAATAGGCCAGAACTCGATCAAAAAAAACTTTAGACCACCAGACTAGTCGCCCAGACCAAGATGATACAATTACTTAGCAATCCAGGTCATTGGGATGCTAAGGATGCTCTGGTGGCTTAGAACTAGTAGTCTGACAAAGTTACAGTAGTAGTGGAGCAGGATTACTATGCGTTAATTTTTGGTGTAATTTTATTACGAATTAACTGGTACTCGTACTGTGATTACATACGTACACGTACCGTACGTGATCTCTGCAGATTAATATGTATGTGCCATATGTTTAATGCCTTACCAACATATTCATACGTACTACGAACGAGAATAGCTTCGAAAAGCTTTACTTCCACGCGTTACGCTATTCTCTGGANTCTATGAATTAAATGATTCTTAATGCTAAGGACAGTAGTACTACTGGTAGCAGGTTAGTCATTGTTGCTCTCAGTAGTAGATAACAGAGTTTTTTTATCTCTCATCTATCAAATATCATATATTCACAAAACTTTGGACACTTCATCAAAGAAACAAGTTACAATTGGAACACAGCCACTAGTACTATCACATTCTTGCATCAAGAGCGGTACATGGACTGTTTTGCATATTTGTCAAACTAAATTTTGTAGCCAAACGTGATTGCTTGTTGTTGTCCAGGTTGAACATAGAGGTTGAACATAGAGGTTGCAAAAACTACTGCTCCACCCAGGCAATGTCCCTACTAGTGATAGGAGCAATCCTCATTGTTGCTGAGATGACAAAAAAGTTGTCTTGAGTTAGTAGGTTGTCTTCAGCAGGTAACTACTATACCATCACACTTCCTTCTTGTTGCAGAATCCAATATGGGTCTCTTAATTTTTTTTGTTTGTCCTTTATGTAGCTCTATCTATTGACAAAATCTAGTCATTTTTGATTGAACCTCAGACACCACCCTTTCAAATTGACTAAATTTAGTGGTGTGGCCTGGACCCCACCATCATGACAATGAATAAAATTTCAAGTCTGTTGAAAGACTTCTTAGTAGTACCAAAGCGCCATTGAAATAGTTAAGATTGCAAATTTCCAAAACTGACATTTTGCCGGCATTCTGTCCCTTTTCCATTTGTCTACATTGACTTGGTAGTCGATTTAGACGTTTAGTCAATCTGGATTAACAGGAATCACCCATTTTGAAGCTGGCGGGGCCTCAAAATGACCAACTACAACAATTTTTCGAGAATTTATGTGAAGGGGAGTAGCCCAATTACAAATAATGAGTACCAGTTAATTTGATATAAAATGCGTTAAGAGTAAAAAGCCTACGGCGCACTACATGGAAAAAAGTAATTTTACTCAAACTGATTTACACCAAAAATTATTACTAGTAGCATCACGGTTAATTTTGTTAATTTTGAAGCCCAGTATTTAGTACTGATCCTACATAGATCTACTAGTATTTGGTCACTCTTTCAACCCCAAACAGTCGTTCAATAAGCTACTAACGCACCACAACAACAACAGCTCAAGAACCAGCTCAAATGAGATCCCCTTTGGGGATTTGCTCGGTCATAGTAGTGCTAAGAAGAGTGCTGTGTGTCATTGTTACACAATTAGAGCCCAGGGGGGAGCCTGTTCTCCATTAACGACAGCTGGTATGGCCAAAATTGGCCAGTTTTGAAACTCTATCAAAAAACAACTTTAGACCACCAGCAGACTAGTCGTCCAGACCAAGATGATACAATTACTTAGTGATCCAGGTCATTGGGATGCTAAGGATGCTCTGGTGGCTTAGAACTAGTCTGACAAAGTTACAGTAGTAGTTGAGCAGGATTATGCGTTAACTTTAGGTGTAATTTTATTACGAATTAACTGGTACTCGTAGTACTGTGATTACATACGTACGCGTACATTATCTCTGCAGATTAATATGTATGTACCATATGTTTAATGCCTTACCAACATATTCATACGTACTACGAACGAGAATAGCTTCGAAAAGCTTTACTTCCACGCGTTACGCTATTCTCTGGAGGTTGAACAGGTTCAACTTGTGTTGAAGTGACTTGCTATGACGTCCTCCCGCGGATCTCGAGCAGAAGAACATGTTGTAATACAACTCTGCACGCGGAATGGGTTTTARCGACTTTCCAGCTGAAAGCAAATTACCATTCGGAAAGACCAATCATAGCTATCTTCGATAGATTGTTGTGCTCCTCTYGGTCTATTTTTTGTAKTCTTGACAAMAGACGAAAGACAAAGCCGAGATATAATCGTGTAAACTTGGGAAGACTCTGCTATCGAGGATTGATAAGAGTGGACGATAGAAAGTATAAATTATGACGCACTCAATATACTTTGCCAGGGCCTTGCTTTTGGCGGCATGCTTCATACAAGATGTGAGTTTGGGAATGAYGGAACTTGTTTGGTAATGGCTTCTCTGTTTCTGGTTTGGACAGAGCTGTGTCATGCCTCAGTGACAGGCGGAGGAGGAGCCAACGAYACAATCCTTTCTGGCCATGATGAGTGAATGAAGGCGGTCGAATGAAATTTTTCTCACTTTTGTCTCTTCGTCGTGTGCTTCAGGCATCCTCTTTTTCGCAAGTCTCGAGAGGCAGTAGCAATGTGGTTCGAAGTAAACCAACATTCATGAGCGCAGTCGCTGACGAAAGCGGCACTTCATCCGCAGAAGAAAGAATGAAGGCGGCGATGGCGGCCGAAGAAGAAATGAACAGCCCAAAATCTGCGGCAGACACCAGCAATTTCGAAGGCTTCGACCTCGGAGGACGTCCATTTCCCCTTTCCATGATTGTTGGCCAAGACAACATCAAACAATCACTCCTTCTCGCTTCTATCAACAACCGAATGGGAGGTGTTGTGATTTCTGGAGGAAAAGGAACTGCTAAATCCGTCATGGCACGTGCGCTTCACCAACTTCTTCCCCCGATTGAAGTCATCAAGGGCTCACAATTCAATGTTGACCCTGAAGGAGAATTCGGTATGGACGATTACCTCAAGTTGGATATCGCCAATGGYGGTGTTCCCCTTGCCGAACGGGAAACCGAAGTCATTCCCTGCCCATTCGTTCAAGTACCTCTGAACGTAATGGAAGATCGTTTGCTCGGAAGTGCCGATTTGGAAGAAAGTGTGAAGACAGGAAAGACAGTCTTCTCTCCTGGTCTTTTGGCCAAGGCTCATCGTGGTGTTTTGTACGTTGATGATATTAACCTTTTGGATGAAGAAACCGCCAACATTTTGTTGAACATTGTTACCGACGGATATGTTTTGATCGAACGTGAGGGTTTGTCTCTCCGATACCCTTGCAGACCCCTTCTGATTGCAACCTTCAACCCCGAAGAAGGTGAACTCCGCGACCATTTGTTGGACCGAATTGCCGTTTCTCTTTCCGCCGATGCCCAGCCACTCGATAACGAAGAACGTGTTGCTGCTGTCAAGAGTGTTTTGGAATTTTCTGGATCCGGTGCCCAAGGATCAAKCGAAGCCGAATCTGCTCTTGCCGAAGCCATCGAAAACGAAGACGATCTCAAAACTGCTATCGTATTTGCCAGAGAGTACATCAAGGACTTGAAAGTCGCCCCATCCCAAATCCAATACCTCTGTGAAGAAGCCATCCGCGCCGGATGCCAGGGACACCGTGCCGAGATTTTCGCCTGCGAAGTCGCCCGTGCAGCTGCTGCCCTCGAAGGACGTCAAGTCAACAGTGATGATTTGCGACTTGCTGTCAAGCTGGCGATCGCTCCTCGTGGAACATTCGTCAACACTCCAATGGACGAGGACGAGATGATGGCTCCTCCWCCACCTCCACCACCACCTCCTCAGATGGACGACCAACAAAACGAAGACCGCGACGAGGACGAGGAAGACGAAGAAGAGGAACAACAGGATCCCGAAGATGAGGAAGACCAGGAGCAAGAAGCCCCAGATGTYCCCGAGGTTCCACAAGAATTCATGTTCGATGCCGATGCCACACCAATTGACCCTGATCTTATTGCTTTCACGAGTCGGGAACGAAACGGAAAGGGCGGAGGTCGCGGTATGATCTTCTCTCAAGATCGTGGTCGATACATCAAGCCTATGCTTCCTAAAGGAAAGGTCATCCGACTTGCAGGTAGGTGTTCCACGGATYAGGCCCACCGTGTCGAGTGCCACGAGTATTTTTCAGCCTAACAACTTTCTCTATACTGTTTGTTTTTGTGWTTTTGTATTTGTAGTCGATGCCACCCTCCGTGCTTCCGCTCCTTACCAAAAGGCCAGACGCGAACGTGCCGTCGGAACCAAATACGAGAGCCGAGGAGTTCACATCGAATCCGGTGATGTCCGAATCAAGAAGATGGCCCGAAAGGCCGGTTCCTTGATTATTTTCATTGTCGACGCGTCGGGATCGATGGCCCTGAACCGAATGAATGCAGCAAAGGGTGCTGCTATCAGTCTCTTGATGGAAGCCTACCAAAGTCGTGACCAGATTTGTTTGATYCCCTTCCAGGGAGAATGCGCCGATGTTCTGTTGCCTCCAACGAAGTCGATCTCCATGGCTAGAAACCGACTGGAACAAATGCCGTGCGGAGGTGGATCTCCCCTGGCCGATGCGCTCCAAATGGCCGTTCTGACAGGATTGAACGCCCAGAGCTCCGGCGATGTCGGAAAGGTCGTTTGCGTGATGCTTTCGGACGGACGTGCCAATGTTCCCCTCTGTGTGTCCAAGGGGGAGGAATTCGACCCCGAGGCCGACGAGGACTCGAAGGACGGAAAGCCGAGCCGCAAGTATCTCAAGGACGAGGTCTTGGCCTGTGCCAAGCAACTCGGAGCCACACCCGGCTTCAACCTCTTGTGCATCGAYACGGAGAACAAATTYATCTCCACGGGTCTTGCCAAGGAGATTGCCAACGCTGCCGGCGGTAAATACCACCAGATCTCCAAGGCCGACGGCAACGCTATTGCCAGTGTCACGAACGCGGCTCTCAACGAACTCAAGCAATAGATGCAACAGCAGCATAAAGAATACTAAAAAAAGTCTATTTTTTCAATTTGTTCGCACAACAAGTTATTTTCCTCGCAGTAGCTATTGTTTCGGACTCCCATTCAGTGAATTGTTGCAACGATCAACACGGGATACCGTCTCAACCCATTCAASCCGCAAGTAGTACGCGCAACTATCAGTAGACTACTACGATAGCAACAGGCCGAATAGGGCTAGGCAGATGGAATACGAAAACCTTTGGAGGCTACCGCTGGAATCTATGCTATTTTATGCTATGCTATTGCTAATGCGAATGCGATTGTTTGCCTCGTGCGTTTCGCRTTGTTTTCTTATGCTTCGTCGGGTGTTTTGCAAACCATCGAGTCCACTGTGGACGAAACCACGGAATGGGGTCGAAACCGGGATGGAAGGGACAGAAAACAAAATCGGGTCTGCGTGTTAGTCTTTTGTACGGTAGCAGCAGCAATGTAGCGATGCAAACGTGCGAACAATKGCAGAACAACAGAGCACGGTGCCACAAATAGAGCACAACGCAACACAACACAACACAACACATCACATCGCAGCGCACGGTACGTACCGGCGTGGACGGGTCCCTGGAGTTCTTCCCAGATGGCCTTGTAGACCATTTGCTGCCGCTGGAGGGGCCGCTTCCCCTCGAACTTGCCGGATACCACCTCGATGGAGACGTGGGAGCCGTTGGGGTCGTCGTAGGCGCCCGTCACKGTGACCTCGGTGGTCTCGAGGGCCTCCCGGATCTTGTTGGTGCACACGGTGACGACCGAGGTCTCGTCCCCTGCCCCGG